CACTGAACGACGCGGGTGAGTGGCACTGTCTCTCTCTGTATGCGTGTGTGTGCACGTCTGTGTGCCTGTGGCCTGCACATCCTGATGCGTCTCTCTCTCCCCTCTCACCTCCCCCTTTTTTTCATTACACGAAGCGCGCGCATCTCCGTCGTGGTCACCTCTGTCTGTTCCACTGGGGCTCTTCTTCATTGATCTCATCGTCTCTCTCTCGCTGCTTCGCTGCCGCCCCCCCTCCGTCCCCCCCTCCCCACTCGATTCGGCAAGCACTGCATGTGAACAGCAACACAGGCTGCCGCGAGTGTCTCAGCAGTGTCTTTCATTTTTTTTTTTGTGTTTCTTTCTCGTCCTCGTTCTTGTCCCCATCCTTCACGGGTGCGGCGGTGCTGTGTGGTGCTATGGTCATGTGATGATCGGTTCATCCGTGTCCGCACGTGTATGTGTGTGTATGTGTGTGTGTGTCTCTGCGTGTAAATGTGTGTACTTGTTTCTCCTGCCCACCTCTTTTGTTGACGCGACGTCGTGGCTCATCATGGGCACCTCTTCGGTCTGCAGCTCCCGCCCTGTGTGTCCTCTTCCCCCCCTTTTCTCTCCTTTCATGCTCTCCTCTCGCTGCGGCCCTGGGTTCGCATATGCGCACGCTTGTGGAGACCGACTGGTGGGTGGTGCACCACCTGTCGATGAGGAAGAGCACGTGCATCTGTGAGACAGCCAGCCACACAGACAGGCAGACAGACAGACAGAGCGGAGCTCAGGCATGCCTTTCGCGCTGGTCCTCCACTAGTTGGGTGATGTTCGCCAGGCGGAGGCGGTACGGGAAGGGGAGTTCGTGGCTTGAGGACGTGTACGCAGCGCGTGTGCCACTCTTTCTCTCCTCCTCCTCCTCCTCCTCCGCCCTCTCCGCCTTGACCACGTCTCTCCGTTCGCGTCGTCCACTCACACGGGGCCCTCTCCTGTCTCTCCCTCTCCAATGCTCTGTATCTGCATCTGTTTTTTTTTTTTCCTTTTGTTGTATTTGTTCGTGTGTGTGTGCGTGTGTGTGTGTTGGTCCCCCCCCAAAAAAAGAGAGTTGGCCAGCCTCGTTTATGTGTCAAGCCGGAGGCAGCGTGGCCGACTCGATCGCCGAGAACACACCTCTACACCCACGCACAGGCAGATAGACACCCACAGAGGCGCAGGTGAAGACGAACAGAAGAGGAGCAGAGGCAACCCATACAGAGAGGCCCCCCCGTAAGAGTGAGTCCACATTTGATACCCACCCACTTACGTGTGCGTGTATGTGTGCGTGTATGTGTGTGTGCTGATATGTTGGGGGTAGACGCTGGCACAGACCCAGTCACAACGAGTCAGAACCTCCTGTGCTGCTGACTCGTGTCGAGGAGTTGTCTCTCTCGCTCTCGCTCGCTCGCTGTCCCTCCACGTCCTCAGTGCACCTTCACTGCTCCCTTCTCTGCTGCTTCTTTTCCTTCTCACTTCCTTTTTTTTTTCCGCGTCTCTTCCCTCCACGGTGTTGTTGTCCACACACACACACACACACACACACACACACGTCGCATCACCAACTGAAGACAGCAGCGCTCGCACCGCGCGCACGCGTTCCCTCTCACCCCATCGTCCCCGTCTCTCTCTTTCACTCACTCCTCCTATCACAGTAGGTGGGGTGTATCACTATCACCGCCCTGTCTGTCCTCGTGTGTGCTGCCATGGCGAACCCCCGCCGGTGCTCCATCGCGCTGGCGCTGATCGTGTTGATGGCCGTGGCGTCGATGACCGTCCCCGGCGCGCGCGCTCAAACCGCGACGGCGGACAGCTGCTCCAGTATCGTACCCTTCTGTCGAAAGTGCTACGACAGCCCCTCCTACCCGTGCATGGACTGCATCGACGGCTACGCTCGTACCAGCCAGGGCCGGTGCGTCGCTGGTGCGCCGTGCGAGGTGGCTAACTGTGTCGCCTGCCCCAAGTCGACGACGCACTGCACCACCTGCGCGGCCGGCTACCACCGCGCCGTCAGTGGCAAGTGTGTAAGCAAGGTTTACGGACCGAATGCCACGAGTCCGCCGACGGCGTACACGACTGCGTTGGTGCTCGTTGTGATGGCCGTCCTCTACTCGTTCTCGAACGTGATTGGATGACGTGGGCCCTCGTGGCAATCGCACTCACTCGCCCACATACACACACATGTAGATGCCCCATACTTGCCCACGTGCGAACACGACTTTCACCGACAGCGTGACATCATTTTTGTGTGGTGTGTACCGCCCATCGCGGGTGTTGTCCTCGAGTCTTGCAGTGCGATTCCTCTCCACACATCCTCTCACCTTCCCCCCCTCTCCCCCCCCCTACTCGCCGTGCATGTCACACGATTGGACACACACACGCACACATGCATACAGAGGATTGACAAGAACGCGGTGCAGTGGAGCAGCGTGTACCTCTTGTTGTGTGTTTCTGAGTATGTCTGCATGCGTGTGTGTATTCTCGTGTGTAGGTGTGTGGGCCCATAGTCGAGAGACGCCGAAGCCCCCCTGTGCGCCGCTGCACGCCGCCACTGGATGTTCGCTCTCTCTCTCCCTCTCCCTCTCTCGCTGCCGTGCCTTCTCGTCTGCGTCCTCCACGACGCCGCCTCCCCGCGCGCGTGATTGGGTGAGTGCGCGGGGTGGCGCAGTCGGTGGGTTGTGTGGCGCGAGCTGCACGGTCACGGTGCCAAGCCTTGCCGCAAGCCTTGCACCTTGCTGGGACACTCCTCTCTCTCCCTTTCTTTTTTTTCTTTCTTTTCCCCGTGTACAGACGTATGTGTGTGTGTGTGACTTTTCTGTCTTGTCTCTTCCATCCTCCAGAGCCCCCACCCCCTACCTCCCGTCCCCCTCACCCTCTCCTCGTCAAGTCGCTGCCCCCGCGCAGCGCCTTCCCGCTCATGGCACGCGGGTGGGTGGGGAGAGTTGGCGGCGACGGTGTGCGCGTGCACGGCGCCGGTGCCGACCAGCACTACTGCATCCTCTCTCTCTCTCTCGGTTTCATGCCGCGGTCTGGTCTGCCGGGGCTCGCTCTTTTTGTATTTCTTTTTTTTCTTTTTTGGTTACACCAGAGTGTCATCGTCGCACGCCCTCCCCGCCTCCTTGCTTTGTTTCTCTCTTCTCTCTCTCACCCGAGGCGACCTGCCTTCCTGAGTGCTGGGTCGCACACACACATACAGAAAACAAAAAACCACACGTACAGGCTCATGCAACGGCATACGAGCACTGGCGCACCGGCGGTGGCGCCATCCTCCACTGTGTTTCCCCCCTCCCCCCATCTTTCTTTCTGTCTCTCTCTCTCTCTCTGCACCGACCAGCCTCCCCTTCGCCCTCTCTCCCCTGCTCCTTTCCCTCGCCGGCGCCCTCCACAAACCCACACAGCGCAGCTCACCACCCACACTCCTACCGTCCGTCTCCCTCTCTCTCTCTTTTCTTTTTTCTACTCCCCCCTTTTTTTGTGTGGCTTGCTTGGCTCGAAGAGGCTCCTTCGCCGCTGCCATGGCGGAGATCGAGTTCGAGGAAACGTGCCGCGAGCTGAGCAGCTACCTGGAGACGGTGCGGCAGTGCCAACGGCGCATCGCGCGCATACCAGGCGTGCTGGCGCAGCTGCTCGAGTTGCTGAGCGACTCTACCAAGCTGTTGGAGGACCTGAGTGTGCCGGAGGAGGTGTCGCTGCAGCCTCATCGGCGCTGCTCGCGCTCCCACCGGCTGATGCGGGCCTTGCACGACGGCGCGGGGCTGACCGAGTTGATGGACTCGATACAGGCGACGGTGCATCACCGGCTCGCTCGGATGGAGGAGCTGGTGGTGGTGGCGAACAGCGCGTGCAAGCGCCGCCGCGACGCACGCGCGCAGTACCTCAACGCCACGGGCCGCCGCCGTTCGTTCCACATGGCCGCATCAAAGCCCGAGAAGGTGCAGCGGTGCAAGGAGGAGTACACGGCGAGCGACGCCGAGTACCGCGAGACGTGCACGGCTGTGGTGCATTACCGTGTGGCGGCGATGGGTCTGGCACAGGCTGACTTCAGCAGCGCGTACTCTGGTGTCTTTGCGCTGCTGAAGAACGCGCTGAGCGGACCTGGTGGTGCGGTGTCGCAGTGTGCCTCGACGGCGACGCGGCAGCGCTTGCGCGGCATCCATCAGCGGCTGTCCGGCGACAGCGACGACACTGGCTGCGGCAGCGACCGCACTGCGGGGTCCCTGCCGCCGCTGAATGGCCCGCCACCCGCCGTGTCCGCGTGCGTGGCGCGGGGGTGGCACCGCCCGTCGTCTCACGGGGGCGACAGGCCTGATGGCCAGAAGGAGGAGGCGGGGAGCGTGGCGACGGCGGCTGGCTCGGCGCCGGTGGAGGGGTGGTCGCAGGCGGGCGAGTCCACCGCTGGCGTGGTGATGGCCGGGATTCCCATGGTGGGGAACGCGGCGTCTGCGCCGGACGCGCCAGCTTGTGTGCCACACAGCCCGCCGGCTGCGACGGCCGCACCACCACCGCCGCCGGCCGCCACCGCCCCTGATCCGGACACGGACAGCAGTGCCGTGGCGACAGACCCATCCACCCCGCCGTGCTTGTCGACCAGCAGTGTCCTGCGCCACCTAGACGAGCTCTCCTCCCCAGACTGTTCATCGCAGCCGCCGCCGCCGCAGGAGCAGCCGGCGCACCTGCTCGAGTACTCGCTGCTGAGCTCCTTCGCAGACACTTGACCATCCCCTTTTTTTTTGAATCTTCCATTCTTTCTTTTTCTTCTTCTTCTTCAATCGGCAGCCACCATTTTTTGCTGCGTGTCATTGTCATTGCTGTATCGCCGCTCCACGTGCCCGCCGCTCGTGCAGCACGCGGGTCATATCGCCCCCTCCCCTCTCCATCAACCGACCAAAAAAAAAAAAAAACAGCGCCGTGGCCCAAGTTCCCTTTCATCCCCCTCTTCTTCCTCCTCGCACCAACTCCGCTCCGCTTCGTTTTTTTTTCTCCTCCGCTTCACAAGAAAAAAAAAACCTCCGATACCGGGAATCGAACCCGGATCTCCTGGGTGAAAGCCAGGTGTTCTAACCGTTATACTACATCGGAACCAGCAAAAAGGCGTCTCTCAACGGAAACCTGGCAACAAGAAAAAGGGAGCGCTGCAAAACAAAAAAAAAAGTGTACGACGGGCGGGGATTGAACCCGCGATCTCTCGCGTGTGAGGCGAATGTCCTAACCACTAGACGACCATCGCATGTCAGCAGCGCGCACTGGATTGCGGCATACGCACAACACACGGTTCGCACACGCTGTCTCCCGCGTGTTCAGCGACGTTGTGGCGCAATGGAAGCGCGTCGGATTCCGGATCCGAAGGTTGTGGGTTCGACCCCCATCAGCGTTGCTTTTTTTTTTCCCGTCTCCTCCGCCACGAGGACCCCCTTCTCTTGCTGGATTGGGAGGGACTTGTTGGCCCTGCCGTAACGGGGAAATAGTTCAGTGGCAGAACATCAGATTGTGGCTCTGATAACCCGGGTCCGATTCCCGGTTTCCCCTCACTTTTTTTTTTTTTTTTGGGTGGGGAAGAAGAGGAGGAGGAGGAAGTGAGTGATGAGGCGTGTGTTTTTTTTTTTTTTAATGCACATCTCGTGTTGGTGACCGGCGCTGCCGAGTTGGGGGGTGTTTTGGGGGGTGTTTGGTAAGCACACACCGTGTTGGGTGAACCGCATTGGACACAGACAGAGAAAGAGAGAAAAGAAACAGACGCAGACACACACGGTTTGTGTTGGTGGGGGCCCACTGCTCCGCCCGCCACGCCTGCCCAGCTAGGTGCGCGGGGCGTTGGCGTCGTCGCTTTGTGGTTGCTGGGCGAGCGATGCGGCGCCGGAGGCGCGCTCGAGGCCCTCCAGCTCCGCGACGGCGCGGCGGAGCGACTGCAGCTGCGCCATCGGGACGTGGCGCCGCAGACGCAGCTGGTAGTAGTTGGCGAACTCGGGGTCGTTGGGCGGAAAGACGTACCAGCTGCGCTTCGGCTCGTCCAGGTGCTCGTACCTGTTCACGCCCTTGCGCTGCAGCAGGCACTCCACGGTGAAGGCGACGCCGAGGACAAAGGTGAGGCAGCCCATGACGATGAACACGGCACCGAGCCCGATGTTGCGGCCGCCGACCCAGCCGGTGTGCTGCAGCAGGATGCTCTTGCGGCCGCGGAAGCTGACCACGTCGTAGAACTCGCTGATGTCCACCAGGTACGTGCCGGGGTGGAGGGTGACGTCGATGATGCGGTACAGCTTGCGAAAGCTGGTCGTGAAGGAGGCACGCATCCACACCTGCAGGTCGAGGTCGGACGGGTCCGGCAGCGCGTGCCCAGGCTCGTGCAAGTACCACCCGTTGCGCAGGTACTCGTTCGTCGTCGGGCGCGGGTAGTAGAGCGACCACCAGTCCTCACGCAGCGTCATGTTGTGGAAGCGGATCTTCGTGTCGGCGGACCAGCTGATGCCCTCCTTCTTACACAGGTTCGTCGTCGCGCTTTGCCCGAGGCGCTGGCCCTTCACCCCAAAGTCAGTGCCATTACAGATGAGCTGCACCGGCGTCACGCCGTCCGCGCCGCCGCGCAGCACCGGCCTGCCGCTCGCACTCGCCTGCTCCACCTCGGCCGCCGTCATCGCGCGGTACAGGACAAAGGTGTCGTTGAACATCGACCACGGTGCGATGCCGCACGGGTTGTAGGTGAAGCTGCTCGCCGGCCGCGTCACCTGTGCCCCGGTGGCGAGCGTCACGGTAATGGGCGTGTGGCCCTCGTTCTCGCGGAAGCCGGGGTAGGTGTACGGCTTGCACATGTACGTGTTGCCGATCTTCGCCTTGCCCGTGAGCTGCGCGTTCGAGCGGCCGTCGTGGAAGTCGCGGTGGTTCTGGTGCATGTTGGAGATCTTGTAGTACATGTACACCGGCGCCTTGATGCGTCGCCCGATGTGCAGCTCCAGCCACGTCCGCGTGCCCTGCGAGTGCGTCACCCCGTCCGCCGTGAACTGCCGAATGCCCTGGTTCACGTTGACGCTCGGGTCGGACGGCACGTACTGGTACTGATGGATCTGGCTGTACTCCTGCTCTACGACGTGGAGGCTGCTGCCCTTCACCAGCACCTCGACCCCCACGACGAGGAACGGTACCGTGAGCACGTACAGGATCGGCACCAGGATGAACGGCGACGGGTAGTTGAAGAAGCCCGGCAGCGTCTGCTGCACCAGCGGGTTGCCGCCGTATACAGTGCGGCCGTACTCGTGCACAAACTCAGGGATGAGCTTCTTCTTCAGCCACCGCTTGGCGCGAGCACCGCGACTCGTGGCGGCGGCATCTACCTGAGCCGCCGTGGTGGTGGTGGTGGCGGTCGTCGCCTCCGCCGCCGCCGCCGCGCTGGTCGTGCGGTGCTGCTCGTCGTCGCTGCTGTCGTTGCTGCTGCCGCCAGTTCTTGAGGACGTGTCACACGAGGAGGAGGAGGAGGGCGACGGGTGCGGCGGGGAGGCGTGCGCCGGCGGCTGAGACGACGACGTGTTGCGCTGCCGCATCTATCCCGTCACCGCGGTTGGTGGAGATGGGGGGGGGGGAGAGAGGCTGAGTGAGAGATTGAGTGAGTTAGAGAGAGAGAAGACGAACGCCGCGGATACATGCAGCACACACACACACACACAGCGCCTACACAACACACAGCAGGGGGGAGTGCAAATAGGATGCGAGCGAAGCAGAAAAAAAAAAAAAAGGCAGAAGTGAAGGAGGAAGAGAGGAAGAGAGAGAGAGATGGGGTGGCATACAAACACACACGCGCACGCATATACACGCACATGCACACACACACACACACACACACACAGACCAAAAGAAGCTGTCGCGTGTGCTGCGATAGAGCGCGGAAGTGGAGAGAGGAGGAGAGGGGGGAAGACACGCGAGTAGAGGTGATGACGTACAAGGCATGAGATACACTGGCAACGAGAGATGCACGAGCCCACACACCCCCCACTCTCTCTGCCCTCGTGTGCATGTGTGTGTTCCTTCTTCTTCTTCTGGTTCGTCTGAGGACGACAGCGGTGGTGGTAGTGTGTGGGTACACACACACACACACATGCGGAGACGCAGCGCTCTCGGTGCACCGCACGCCTCATCTATCTGAGCTGATCAAAACACATGTGCGTCTGTACACTCCTCCGCAGACACCACCTCCAGCCTCCCCCGACGGTGGCCGCCGCCGGTCTAGCAGGGAGCTGAATGCTGCGGTAGGGCAACGGAGGCGCCGGCGTCATGGCGGTCACCGAGACCGGGCGGTGGCGCGGGTGCGAAGCCGCGCGCCTGCAGTTCGGCGAGCGCCGCGGCACGACCGCGCGCCTTCGCCATGGCAAGCATCAGCTCCTGCCGGAGCGCGTGCTGCTGCGCCGTAGCGACAGCCAGGTGCGCCTCGAGCGCCTCCGCATCGGACGAGGCAGGTGCGCCACGTGACGAGACGCCGTCTCCATCGTCGGCCACCGCGGAGGCGCGGCGCGGTGTCGGCGGAGCCACGGCGGCGACGGTCGTGGTGGTGTGGACGCTGATGTTGGCGTTGGTGGACGATGGCCGTCGCAGCCGTGCGTTGCGCACCGTCAGGCAGCGCCGCTTCTCCAGCTCCAGCGTCTCGTACCGCCGACGCAGCTCATCGTTGGCCTGATCCAGCGTGCGCAGCTGACGCACCGCCTTGGCCACCGCCGCCGCCGCCGGCTCTGCAGCATCGGCGGTGTCGTCACGACACGCGCTCAGCTGTGCCTCCACGCTCTTCAGCCGCTGCCGCGCCGCCTCGAGCTTCACCGCCACCGCGTGCCGCGCATCACGCACCACACGCAGCCGCGTGGCGCACGCGTCGTGCAGCACGGCGTCTTGCCGAGACTGCAGCGTCGCAACATCGACGTGCGGCACGCGGTGCTCGTGTGAGGCGCCGTCGGCGTCGTGTAGTCGTGGCCGCGACATGCTGAATGGGTTGCGCAGCAACACTGGCGGTCGCGACGGTGCTGATGACGTCGACGGCGAGGTCGCCACTGTCCGTGCAGACGACGCCACCACCACCACCGCCGCCGCTGGTGCGGCGCCGCTTGCGACGACCTGTGCCGCGTGGGGCGTGGGGCGACGGGCGGCCTGTGGGTCTTGCGCTGTCAGCGGCGGTGTTGGCGCCGTGAGCGGCGCCGTGATCCCCACCTCCTCGACGCCGTCCATCGACTCAGGGGTGGGATGGGGGAGGAGGAGGAGGACGAGGAGTGATGAGGTCGGGCGTTGACACGCACACACACACTTACACACACATGCACACAGACTCACGCCGGCAGCGACGCAGCGCGCTGACCGCCTTTCGCTCGTTGCTGCCGCTGTGGTCGGTGGCAACTGCCATCAAGATGAGCGGATGATGACACGGGGAGGAGGAGAGGGAGAGGGCGGGGAGCAGACCACGAGAGACATACGAAGCGAGGGGGGACAGAGAGAGACAGAGAGACGCTAGCAGATAGACTTTTACACGCATTCGCGTCTGTCGGTGCGGCGGTGCAGCATTTTTTTTTTTGGGCAGTGTATACGCGAGGCCACAACCCGCAGAGCATGGACGGACGCGCTCACACCTGTGTGTGTGTGTGTGTGTGTGTGTTTGTGTGTTTGTGCCTGGGCACACGGGAGAACGCAAAGACAGTCGGCGGGCAGCAGCGAGTGCGTGCCGCCAACGAAAAAAAAAAAAAATGGAATAATAAAGGGGGTCTTCTACACACGCACACACACACACACAGAGCTCTTCTTTGTCTTTTGGGTGCTCGGCTTCTAGTGAGTGTCGGCGACAGTCTGCTGCGTGCTGCGCCGCTGCTCCTCGCTGTCCAGCTCCTGGGCCGCCTCGTTCAGCTGTGCGTCGTACGTGTGCTGCTTCGACGACTTGGGGATGCCACTCCACACAAACTCGTTGTCGTCCTCGTAGTTCTCGATGGGGCGGATGGGCTTGTTCTTCTTGCGCAGGCAGCTGCGCAGCTTCCCACGAATGATGAGGTCCACGTCGGAGTAGATGCGGTCATGCACGCGGCGCTGCAGCGTCGACGTCACGCCGGTCGCCTCATCAGTGTAGGTGAACTCGTCCGCCTCGGGGTGCTCGACGCCCTCCTCATCCACGCCGCTGGCGATCTTCAGAATAGTCTCGAGCATCTCATAGTTGCCGAGGATGTCGACGTGCTTCGCGCTGAGCTTGCCGCCGCGCAGGTTCAGCGATGAGGCGCCGACGACGGTGTGGTTGTACTCGCGTGTCACGACGCGGCCCACGTTGCGGGTCCACCCGTTCACGGCGCGGCACATGTACGCAAGGGACATGAGCGGCACCGTCTCGTCGCCGTCCGACATGCGCACGCCGCGTTCGGTGTGGCGG